TAACTGAGATAAGGAAAACGGTGTATTATGCTTTTTCAGTCCTTATATCAGCCGCACTTTTTTTTTTCTTTTTTTGCAACATGGGCACACTTTAGTGGCATCTTTTAGGCTGTCTAAACGTGCTGGCAGATTTTGCATTTCGTGTATTGCTTTCTTCTATTTCGAGCTTTGAAAAAGAGGCATTTTTCTTGTGAAAAGAGGCAGTTTTTTTGTGAAAAATTTGCTCAGCAATTTTAGGTTGTACACGTAAAACACGTATTGTGGATACGGTATACAATGCATCCAACAATGAGCTGGTTCGTACCAAAACATTGGTGAAGAACTCAGTGATCACAATCGATGCTGTTCCATTCCGACAGTGGTACGAGGCACACTATGCACTCCCGTTAGCTCGCAAAAAAGGCGCTAAGCTAACCGATGAGGAGGAGGCTCGGATCAACAAGAAACGCTCAAGAAAGACACAAGCAAAATACACCAAACGGCAGAAGTATGCCGAGGTTGAGCCTCATCTCATCGAGCAGTTCCAGAGCGGTCGCTTGCTCGGTTCGTTTTTTGCCTCACAGTTGACTGTTGTTTGTGCTTTACAGTGGATTTTTGCTAGACTGATGCTGGACTCTTGGGCGGATCTAGGGGGAGGGAAAGGGGGGGGGGTATTCGATGAGTCCTTCACCCCTCCCCGTCCCCCCTCCTCATCGGCACAAATACCAGTGCTGCAAAAGTCCGGGTATAAAAAACAAGAGTCTTGCCGAAGAAATTCTTTGGAGATTTTTTATCGCATTTTCAAATGATATGGCAAAACGGTATCATTGTGATCCCAGGGAATTTTACATGATCGGAATGGTTCGCAAGGGGATGCTTGTCAATATTCTAGAGAGACTGACGGTAGGTAATCTGGCATGAAAGTTTCACTTCAACCGATGTCTAACCATAAGGGAGTTACAGGGCAATGAGTTTTAAAATACTCGAGAAATCTGTGATTCGTTCAGGAAAAAAAAAACAAGTTGCCGGAGTTTCAGCTTTGTAGCTTTTGTAGATCTCGAGATGAAAACTCGTTACAGACGCACACACACACACACAGATATCCCCTTTACAGTACACGTTTTTGCATTGCTTGGATGCAAAAAAGGCATAAAACCAAGGGAAAAAATCATATTCTGAGATCGTGTAGGGTGGTGTCCCATAGCGGAGCGCAAAATCCTTAAATTACGAAGTGAGGGTGCTGAGTTCAGTTCCTGAGTACTACCATCTCCACCACTGAGTGTCGGTGTCTTGAAAATTGAGAACAGAGTCACAGTGCAGCGTCGGTTGCTGTTATTGTGCTAAGTTTCTCAAAAAGTATCTCAGCATCGTATATGCGAGACGTCGTTGCCTGCCATGCTCGATGCCTTCACCTCTGATTGCTTACAAAT